TCTTGGACTTGATGTTCTCGTCCTGCATGGTGTTGCGCATGGTGTAGCAGTAGTTCTCGAGACCGTTCTTAGCGTCGATGCGCTTCTTCTGGAGCTCATCCTCAGCCTTGAACTTCTCGGCTTCCTGGACCATTTTGTCGATGTCGGACTGAGAAAGTCTGCCCTTCTCGTTGGTGATGGTGATCTTGTTGCTCTTGCCCGTGGCCTTTTCGACGGCGGACACGTTCAGGATGCCGTTGGCGTCCACATCGAAAGTGACTTCGATTTGGGGCACGCCGCGAGGAGCGGGGGGGATGCCATCGAGATGGAACATACGCAGGTTGTTGTGCATATTTAGCTGCGCCCGGTCAGTTTAAATTCCCTGGGTCAATTTCCCAATCCCATCCTATCCTCACCAGTTTCCCATGTTCGTGCTCCAAGTTATTTTTTGTAACTGAGTTTAAAATTGTGTTGTAGTCAAAATCTGTGAGTGCTTAGTCAACCTCCTCGACAGTGGGTCCGCCGGGGGCGGCGCCAGGGCCGCCGGGGCCGCCAGGGCCGCCGGGCATACCAGACATGTCGGGCATGCCACCGGCGCCACCGTAGGCCTTCATCATGACGGGGTTGCAGACGGCTTCGATTTCCTTCTGTTTGTTTTCGAAGTCAACGGTGTTAGCGTCCTGGTTGTGGTCGAGCCACTGGATGATTTCGTTGAGCTTGGTGTCGACGGTATTGCGGTCGGCTTCGTCGATCTTGGACTTGATGTTCTCGTCCTGCATGGTGTTGCGCATGGTGTAGCAGTAGTTCTCGAGACCGTTCTTAGCGTCGATGCGCTTCTTCTGGAGCTCATCCTCAGCCTTGAACTTCTCGGCTTCCTGGACCATTTTGTCGATGTCGGACTGAGAAAGTCTGCCCTTCTCGTTGGTGATGGTGATCTTGTTGCTCTTGCCCGTGGCCTTTTCGACGGCGGACACGTTCAGGATGCCGTTGGCGTCCACATCGAAAGTGACTTCGATTTGGGGCACGCCGCGAGGAGCGGGGGGGATGCCATCGAGATGGAACATACGCAGGTTGTTGTGCATATTTAGCTGCGCCCGGTCAGTTTAAATTCCCTGGGTCAATTTCCCAATCCCATCCTATCCTCACCAGTTTCCCATGTTCGTGCTCCAAGTTATTTTTTGTAACTGAGTTTAAAATTGTGTTGTAGTCA